AAAAAAAAAATTGGTCTTATTTAAACGAGAATAAGCCAAATCGTGGACAAATCTGACAACCAATTAATTTGGACTTAAGTAAAAAAAATATGCAAATGCATATAAATCCTAGCCCTACTCATAATCATAATTTAGTAGGTATTACTTGTATTTTAAAAAGTTAATAGGTATACCGCAATAGGTTCTTGCACATTAGATCTTGAAATGGAATGACAATTTGTCTTACAACAACGTGTGAAGTTTTTAAAAATGTATTGTACTCAGCATTCTAATTCTTCAGAATATAGGTAGTGATGAGAAGTTTTGAATTTTTCCGTGGTTTTTCACTTTTGCATTTTTACGATAAAATGGCAAAAAACATTGTCATTAACATAGWTAATTTTATAAATTAAAAAAACGTTATCAAGCCTTATAACCGTGTTGCAGGTAAGCTGTTGTTAGAGGCGGCAGCAGCGGCCCACGACAGAGCGGACCGCGCACAGCGACTGTGCCGGCAGCTCCGTGCTAAATCCGAGGGGAATACGTCGGGCAGCGGTGGTGGAGGCGGTTTGCTAGCTGGCGTGTTGGAACGAGAACGCCAGTGGACAGTACGGTTGTTGTTATCACACTTCCGAGACGAAGAAGAAGATGAATACGCCACGGCCAAAGGTGAAGGAGGTGGAGGTGACAGCGATCGCARAGATGGCCGTGCCGAGAAGAATTGTGGACGTTGCTGGGATTGCCACTACTGTTGCTCGGACGACGACGGCGTCGATGCTGACGCGGTAGCCGATTATTGTTCGGGCGACCAAGAGGAGCTTACYGCGGCAGGGATCGCTGGCGTACCTGGTCTGGACGTCGACCGCGGCGTGTTAATCAGACGTAAGTATACCAACTATAAGCTGTATACTGAATCGGCAGTCCGAACTTATATATATAGTTTTGAGACAAACAAAAAATTATTTTACCCACCCATTTATTGATATAATATTATAATATAAAAATACGTCTCATTGGCATACATAATAAATTGCATTGTTATTAATAAATCAAGTTAATGTAACGCCTTTGAGTTAATCATTTGAGCTTAAGCATTAAGCCAATACAGAATTTACCTCGAGTATTGGTAGGTACCTATATATAGTACATTTTTTCCTATAATCGTATAACATCCATACGCAGGCATGCAGCCACCCACAATCTACCTATTTATTAAAACAAAGGTATTACCTTTATATCTTCAGAATTATAGATCTACCTTTTTACAGCCACTGGTTGTACATCCCTAACTTCAATAAAACGATATAGTATTTGGCCACCTAACAAGAATGCGGACTAATATACATACGAATCTAACGAAACATTAAATTTATCTATTCTTGTTAAGTATCAGCTTGAAAATCTATAATAATATATTATTGTTCGCGTTTTGAACGTTCTAATAACATTTGTTAAATAAAGACAATTTATCGTATATAGATACGCCTAAGTATATTAATTGCAAATATTTTTATATTTTTATTTAATTATTTTGTCTTTATTGTAGATTGTAGCTTACTATTTCACGGTTTTCAAAAATATCCCACCAATTTTCAGTTGTTGTTTTTAAATGCATAATTATATTTTATTATTATTGAAAAGTTTTTTCCACGAGTATTTATCAGCATATGGCCAAATCTGTTAATTATAATAAAGTTTAAAAAGTTTTAGATTTTTTTCTCAGAAGCAACATAGAAGTACAATTTTAAGTATTTTATTTATATCGTTTACTTAAATTTTTTTCTCTGTATTTGTTCATTGAAACGACCTTGAGGTGGTAGGGAGATCATGGGATCTATTAATCTACATATATATATATATATTATATATATATACATGATAATACCTTCTTCTCCGTGAGGAGACATGTTCAGTCTTCACTCCCAGAGTGGAAACCGGATGACGCAATAGGACGACAGCACGAGAAATTGTTGATCTCGTAAAACTACGCACTTTGGTATGAATTGAACCGATGACTGTGTGAGTCGCAATCAACTGCGTGATCACTGCGCCACTACGGCCTCCTACTTAAAAATTATAATAGGCAGTGGCGGTTTTACGGGGGGGGGGTCCAGGGGGTCTGGACCCCCCCGATCCCGAGTTAAAGCTGTGATTCATTATTCAGTCAGGGCGCTTGGGGTTTGACAGTAATTTTTTTTTATAGCTATTACGATTTTTATATACGGATATAGGTACGCTTATATCTAATATAATATCTTAAATGCTATGTTTTTTTTTATGTAAGAATTAAAGGGTTAAC